GCACAGAAAAATTTGGCAGCATCCCATTATGTGCCACTAATTACTATCTATTACATTCCTTTTATTTTTTTATTTTTTTTTTTTTAGTTTTAACACAAACTAACTGTATTTTTTGCTGAAACAGAAGCATATTTTTATGGAGATTATTGGGCTGCCCTAGGAAACTTAGTACCCAAATCCCAATCCACATTTTGCCACATACCCTGACTCAGTATTGCAGTGATAAAACACAGTTTAAAAGATTCTGGTGGGGGTAGGGCTTATTTAGTTGAGATTTTGCTTCAAAAATATCCATCCATTAGGCACAGAAGACTGCTGTGCCCTGCCTCCTAGGAGAAAGGAAGGCTCAAAATTGAGATGGGTAAGAGCTGAAGTCTTGAAGGCTCCTGGGAGAAGGCTGACTATTCTTGTTGCCTGCATGCAAAGCTCAACAAGCCTATTTCTTCTTAACACTTTTTGGCCCTAGGAAGAGAAAAGGTGCCCAGGGAGAAGAACAAATCAGTGCAGCAATATTAGATAGAATAAGAACAAACTGGAAGTTTCTTCCCCCTCTGGTCACAGCAGACTACAGGAGATTTCCAAGTTGCCTGAAGTAAAAGATTTTGAAAGCAATTAAGAGACAGGGACAGTTTTTGTCTGTTTGACAGCCCATGTCATTCAGGCTGGTGTTGCAGGGATTAAGGAACAGTGGGTCAGAGGGACGTGTCTTTTTTATTGCCAAAGATGGGGGCTTTTCTCTGTCCAATGCTCACACAAATCAGTATTACCTCTAACAGTGCAAGTAGAAGAAAAAAAGAGAGAAAAAATTCAGGATGCTTTTCTCAAAAGACTTCTGCTATCTCAAGGCAGCATCACTAATTAAGAAGCAAATCAGCTCTCATTAATAGATTTATTTTTATGGCAGGGATGCAAACAAGCAATGCAGGCATGACAGATGCAAGCCTTTGCTCCACTTATTCTACTAGCAATAGGAGTTACAGTAAACAAACTGAACTATAAAATAAATGCATCCAGGCATGAAGATGAATTTGTGCACATTACTGGGAATGTAATAATATGGAGTAAAAGACACAAAATAAAGGTGATAATTCAAAGATTAGAAGAAGCTAAGAGCAATTACATTTTCACAGGACATGCTGAAATGCACAAATAAAAAGATACTTAAATTATGAATTTACAAAACCACATCCATCTATGGACAGCTGAAAATAAAGGCACAGGAGAACCAAGAAGGTAAGACAAAAAATTGGTGGAGATAGCTCTGTACCAGATAGAAAGGGCCATAAATCAGAATGAAGATCATAACAAAAAAAAAAAAGTATCACTGGTAGGGTCAGCTACTTGCTCTGACCCATTAGAGATTCTGCTATAGAAAGCAATCCAGGTATTCCAATTGAGCATGCACTATCTCTAAAGGCTGCAACATCTGTAGGAAAGAAAGCCAGGAGTACATATTTCAGTAGTCTGGGCCAGGAGGAATAGCACAGGAGATTCAGGAGCAAATCTTGTACCTCAATTTGCAATAGCACATTTTGCAGCTTGGCAAGCACCACACGGTGCACATATAAATCAATTCCTATTTCCAGTCATGGACAAGGTTGCAGTGGTAGCTTCCAGCAGAAACATAATTATATGTGGGGCCATGTATTTAAGATTTATTGCTTGCCTTCAATTGTGGAAAAACTGAGAAAGACATCTTTTAAACCAGACAAGAGAAGATGAGGCCATGCCTACCACACAGGGACTTATTAATTGATTATCCTTTTCCTCAACATCTCTTACTATAACACTGTACACAGTATCTGAATATATAGTTATAAATAAATGGTAGACATGTAAGTTTGTTAGCTACCGAAGATGTAAATAATAATTGCATGTTTGGAGCTAATGGAGTTTGCAGAATATTATGGATTGAAACAACTGCTTTATGCCAATTTCCCTTCAAGCTGATGAAGATGTTTCAGGTACCTAACTGTGTTTATATAATCAGAACAACTGGTTTAACATTACCAGGGATAGGCATTTTTAAAGCAACATCTCAGCATCACACACAAGTTCCTTGAAGAGTTTAAAGCCTGATATTATATGTAAGACTTGCACCTCCACCCGTGAATTATAAAATCCTGAAATCATTTTGTGTCAATACATACATACCAATAAAAATGCTAAACCTAAGACTTTGGGAAGCAATCTTGTTTTATTTGACTAAGCATACTGTCCCTGGACTTCTCTAACTGCCAGCTGAGACATTCTTCTTTATACTTCCACATACTTATAATATCCTGCTTAGTCTTTATTTAAAATACTTAAGTGACAGCAAATAGCCTATTTAAAACCACGAAGAAAGGCAATGTCAAACACAATACCTGAGGGGACAACAATATGTGTGTCCATCAAAGTAATTTAGATTTTCATTCTATTTATGAGTCTTCATTTAAAAGCAAGCCTGAGGGAACAAGCATTGTCTTTAGCTTGCAAATACAGAGAAAATTCAGAAATATAATTAAGATGAAGATATCCTGTAGAAGCCAAGACCTAAGTAAATAATAGTTTTGCATCTGCCTTCTTATAAAATACTGTTTAACGGGAATTACCATATATATTCTTTGGAAAAAAAAGATGTGTGATTATGTGGGCTTGTATTTATAATAACTGGCAACAAGCCAGAAAGAAATATCCATCAATAGGTAATACTTTCCTCAGGAACAAAATTAAAAGGCAGGGGGTCTTTTGTCATGCTGGGAGAGCATCAATGGCTTAATCCCACAGGTTAGCCCCAGAGAGCCGAGACTAATTTATTGCTACTGGAATATAATTGCTCAACTGGAAGCTTTTAAAATGGATTTGGGGATCACATAACCACTGATTCTGAACAAACAGAAAAGTCTGACTAAAAGTGAAATTACTGAAGGACCTCTAGAAAGAAGGGGCTGGGAGGGAGAGAAGGCTTATTAATACAGCTCAACTTAACTCTTAGAAATCAGCTGTGGATCCAAAAAGACAACTTTGTCCCGAAGCTAAAACCAAAACAAGATGGCAAAGTCTCAGATCCCCAACTGCATATGTCAACAAACTGAGTACAGCACAACAAAGCATTAAAATGAAATGGTTATGAAATTACCATCTTACTTCCTCTGAAACAAAAGAGCAGCACAAGCTTTTAGTTTGGCATGCTAGTGAAGGTCTGAAAAATTTTGGCATGTGTGACTGGGTTTTTGTCCTCCCAGCTGAAGAAATCACTCTCTTGGACTATTTTTAATTCAGTTTTGAGAGCAGGTATCGCACTAAAAATCACAAGCAGTCTGATTCATTTATTAAAATGGTAGGACCTCAAATCATCATGCCTGGTTTTAGCAATTACTGCATGATTAAGGCTAGCTTTTGCTGCTGGTCTGGCAAAAGAGTTTATTAAATATATGTAACTGATTTTCATCAGGATTATTGAAGAGAAAAAAAGTTAATTGTTCAATGGGATTGCTCATGTTTCATCTGCTGATTGAAGTTTCATCTACTCCAACTTCCAAATTTTTTTTCTTTTCTCCCCTCTCACCACCCCCCACTTTTATTAATAATCCATTGGGAATTTTAAAAACTTGAACCAGCAGTACATCAGGATTCTACACTTAGATACTCAAATAAGTATATCTAATGTGTCTATAGGCTTCAAAGGTGTTGCTGAGCACTGTTAGATGGTGCAGATACCCACAGAAATAAATGCAGCAAAATCTGAAAGGGAAATGCTGCTGCTGCAGCTCCCTCTGAGGCTCCTTGTTTTAACAAGCACATTCAACACCTGAAACTCTGCTTAGGAAAGTGAGGAAGGAAGAAAGCTCAGAAGTTTCACGGGTCAAAAAGCAGGTCCTACCTCACCCCCTTTAGTGCCACACTGATGGTGTGTGTGTGTTGGTTTCCCCCCACCTCCCCCAATTATATGTAGTAAGGAGGAATTTTCCTTAATTTTTTTAAGATGGCAGTAATTCTTATCGAAATTCATATGTTGTAGATGCCACTTTTCATCCAAAGAACAGAGAATATTAATGAAATTACATGATGTGAAGCAATAATCAGCTACTGCAGAAGAAAAAATACTTTCTCTTTCTAGAATAATTTTCTTTTTTTAAAAACCAAACAGGCCTTCTGGCTTTTCCAGAAAAGAGAGAGAGTTTTCATGAACTTCTACATTTCAGTAAGTTACATCCTGGAATAAAGTTTCCAGTATTACAAGTGAAGATAAACACTTCTAAAGTAGAACATCACTGGGACCGGTGTCAAGTGCAAGACAATTGTAACAAATATCATCTGAGGGACCTATACACACATGACACATTCTGCATGCCTGGTTGGCTTCCATTTGATGCTAAAATCATTTGACTGACTTCCTAAACTGGATCAAGTCTCCACTTGTCTATCTTTCCATTAAATCCTGCTAGTAAACTCTCTCCTTCCTGTGTGATGATTCTCAGTATTTACCTTAAAAGGAAAAAAAATTTCCAAAGCGAGATCAGCTATGAAAATGCTGATCTCATCCAAGAAAGTGAATAGAGAGATTAGGGAAGATTTTATATGTTCATATAAAAAGCAATACGTCCAGCTAATACAATTCATTACAGTTCCCTCAAACTTGATGAACCCACACTAACTTACCTAACTGAAGGTCTAGCACTGAGAGCCTAAAGGATATTTACCCTGGGGTTTTAGTATTGTCTTAAGAGCAAATGTTTGAATGGAGGGGAGGGATTACCAACACTGTAAACAGCATTCACTTATATATTTTGGCTCTGAGTCAATTTTACAAGCTTCAGAAATTCTATTGCTGGAATGCTCCAACACTTGAATTTGTAATTATTTTCAAAGAAAACAAATATTTTAAAATACAGTTCATATGTCAGGCATTTTCCTTTTAGCAAGCAATCAGTTTCTGTGAAACAAGTGACATGACATTTTTTGCAAAGCTACTGCTACTGCATTTGCCTTGAATGTGTGCTCTTTTTGACTCTTACCTTCACATTCTCTGGATGAAGCCCTCCAGGGTGTTTGTCCATGTACTGACATAAATCAGTGTGCTAAAAGAAAGTCAGATGGAGAAAACTATATTAATATCCATATGACTGCAGCAATAAATACCCCTCTACTTAGGAGTGGACATAACAAATGGAAGATAAGATTTTTTTCAGCCACACATGTGCAAACACACATTTGTACCTTTACACTCATTTTATTTAAACAGCCTTGATAACTGATATGAATATTCAACAAATGCAAATTAGTATTTTTTTCTGACACCCTGCATTTGGTAGATTAATTATCTGAATTTTAATACCATTCTAAAACTTGTAAGCACAGTATCACCATCAACACCACAAAGATAATATCTAGACAGAAGAGGAAGAACCTAAAAGGAGAATCTCACATTCAACTCCCATTTTTCACATTACAACATTGCCCTTTAAATATAATTTTATAGTGATTTTAGATTAAGATGGGTTAAATTTTTAGAAAATAAAGCAGAAAGGCATTACATATCAGAGTACTGAATGGTACTTTCCAGCTCAAAAAGAAGCACATATTATGAACATGTACAGCCACTAAATACAGATACTTTAGACAAGAACTTCACGGAAAATTCAAACCAAATTTGTCACTTCATTGTTATCTATTTCCTGCAAACATAGCATGAAATGTCTTCAGAAAAAAAAAAAAAAAAAAAAAAAAAGGTTTGCAATGTATAGATTAATGTTATTTTTAATGAATAAATAGTTATAGCTTTTACTATGGAAACACTTTTCTCTGAATTCTTCTCTTACATTCTATGCTTCAGCAGTATGGTTTCAGTCAAGTGGCATGTTGCTTCTCTAATGCTTGCACAACTCAGCTTCTGGAATTATGTTCAGAAAAAAAAAAAAGCAAAAATATGCACTTGATTAACCAGCAAATACTCAGAGACAGACTCTGCCTTCCACATCTGGTTTCTGAACACATCTGGTAAAAATCACTCAACATTCCTTGAAAAGCTACTTGGCAATACCTCCCTCACATACACAAAAGCCCAACTAAACACAGGCAAAGTGAGAGTTTTGGAGAAATTTGCCTTCTACACAGCAGAATGGCGTCCCTGTGCAACATTTCCCAAACCAGGAGGCATTCTTTAGCTTTCTTTTGCAGAATTATGCAGATACATAGGAGTTCACACTTAAGACACAAAACTTGTTCTAGCCACAGCTATGCTACTTAATCCCTTCTGAAATCACAAACTAAAAAAAACCACACTGTGCATGTAGAATTAACATTGCACAGACATTAAGATGCACAGGATGATTAGGCTCTGCACTAGCACAACTATTTTCACAAATTCTTACGTGGCTTCAAGAGAGCAAGAGCCCTGACTGCAGGAAATTGCTTGAATCCCAAAATGAACAGCATGTGTATCACAAGGGCAGAGGTCAAACAGGCAAATTACACCAAATACAAGAAAACAGAGATTATTCCAAAACGCAGGATACAGAGGCAGCAATTCTTCAATTTATAGTTTACAAATCAGTGAATGCATTTACAAAGAAAATTTGAAGATGAATTAAAAATATTCTACTAGTGAACTGTTAGTGTCAATTAAGTGAATTTTGCATGAAGGCTCTTAAGTTTTAAAGACTTATTCCTCATTTCTGTAGAATCTTTAGCCTTAAGGTACAAATTCCTTATCCATTCTCCATTCCAGTTGGTTTTCTGGGAGTGCATCAATAAACCATGCCACAAATGGACCAGTCATCCTTCCATACACACCATCACATTATACATTTTCGTCTTGTTTACTGTATGAACACCAAGAAAACATACTTAAATAAAGTCATCTGCTAACCTTGTCATTTGTTTTAATAAACTAACAGGTTCTGAGTACTAATCCCAGCAGAAGAATCTGCCTTAATATCAGCTGAAATACCATTACTACAGGGGATGACCGGTGTCAAATAAGAAATTTGTAGGAATCCACTCATTTTAATGGGTTATATGTTATTCAAGAGAAATGCAGTCTTTGAATAGTGCTAGCACCTGAAGTGCTCAAGAGATGCTAAAAGAAAAGTCTGAAATTTCACTTTAGAAAGCCCACTGGGGTGGCCAGGGAAGTGTTGTGCCATCCTCAGACACAGCCATGGTGGCCCCTGAGCACGGCACACTCCCTCGTGTGGGCTGGCTCAAGGAATTATCATTTTCCCAGTTCAATCTTTCAGCCTTTGTGAACAACAGATAACCTGGTACGTGAGAAGTTTATTGCCTCCTTCACCTTCTATCGATTTCTATGTTTTGCAAGCAGTGAGCTGACAGAAACCAGACCAGAGGAAGACAAACCCAATGTCATTTCTGAAGGTCTCCTTCCTGAAGCCCCACCACACCAGCTGCACTAACTGCCTATTTTTATTCACCAAAAGCTCTTCATCCTATTTAGAGTCACAACTCTAGGAACAGCAATAAGTCATATTTTTTATTTCCAATATACTTGTAACAAATGGTGAGGATAGCCCCATTTTCTTATTGTATATTTCAGTTACTATTTAGATTCATTTTCACCACAGGGAAATATCAATGATGATTGTGTTTATGTTATCCGTCATCAACTTATTCTTCCTATTCCAAGGATGAAGACAACTGGGAGCCTGATTTAACCTTCTGCCATCAGTTTACTATCAAAACCTACAAAAACTGATATAACACATCTACCTAAAAGTCAGTGTAAGCAGCAATTTCCTCAGAATCCTGGAAACCCTACAGAGTCAATTGTGCTGCAGTCTTTCCGCATTTATTTTTTTTCCCTACACACACACTACAGAGAAATCTTGACCAAATGTTCATTCAGATGGGGAAGAGAAATTGAATATAATTTCTGTTCAAATCTTTCAACAATTTCCTTCCATAAAACTATGAATCCGTCTCATAAAAGTAACTAAACATTATGGTAAGAACTGTGGAAGCAACTTACAATGTTAGAGTACACTCTAACAGTGCTCTCCACTTTAAAAAAAAGAAGGTGGCAGCAAAGCAAAGGCAGCATCAGCTGCTCCCCTTTCCCAAGGTAGAGACTGAATGCACATTGAATTAAACATTAGTACAGCCAGGAAAACTGACAGTGCTGCAGAGACAGCTCTTTCTAAACCTGTTTTCCCTTTTGGCAGCCAAAGTGTCTGCTCCAGTGCTTGTGTACACAACTGACATTGAAGAAGACAATATGAATGCAAGTTTCAGGAAGGCATTAGAAAAGAAAACAAGAGAGCAGGCTGGATGAAAGCAGTCTTTTAATGGTATTCCATGAAATTTGTACTATATAGATGGAGTCTTTCTCTTCATGCCATACTTCAAGGTGGAAAACAACGTGCTTTCCCAAGTGGAAGAGTGGCTGCAAATACAGCCTGCCATACTCTGACACTGGAGTCTCTGCTACAGTCACCACCCTGATCTAATAAAATATATACCCCAAAGGAAAATTCAAGATAGAATTACATATTGCAAATAACATAAAACTATACTGAAACAAGCTACAAAGACAAGAAACAGACCAACCAATACACCTTTTACAATCCATTCTGCACTGTCTCAGAGGGTCAGGTCAACTCACAGGGAAGCAGCATTCTGGGAATGCAGCACAGAAACTTCCAAGTAATTGCACGAATTCTGATCCCAAGCAGACCTGGCTAGACGAATTCTGCTTCAAGCTAGCTTTTAACAGCTCTATCAGCCATACTGTTAACCCTCAACACACATAAATCACCAAAGTAATCCCGTGCTGACAGAACATTTGATATCTTAGTTTAAGTTCTAAATCCCTTTAGTTCCTGCTCCTTACACTCCACTAGTTTATGCACACCTATATGTACAAATATTCAATTTGCACTCCTCTGCTCAAAACAGCTACACAAAAACAATAACCAGAGGTAAATCAAGTTTCTAAGGAGAAGAATCCAAAAGCTAGGAAAGTCCAGAATTAATGGTGTTTACCCAATCTTTTATTTGTTTCCCCATTAAATGCATATTATGATAACTCCTAAAAGGTCTAATGTAATCACATATTTTTTTTCTTCCTAGGATTAGTCATACTCACTGACCAGAATAGGAGATGCTTGATTAAAAAATAGCTGTGCTGTTTTATGGCTAGGGGGTTTTCTTCTATTCTCCAACAGCTACTACTGCCTTGAAGACAGAAATAATCTCACAGGTTTTCCTACCCAGCTTATTGCTATGCTATTGACACATTTTACAAACACAGAATGATTTCATAGCAATACAGGAGACATAAGGCATTACTTCCTTTTATCAGATAGGGACCTACCTGAAGCAAAGACAAAAAAATTCCTAAGAATCACTGATCTGGGCGATTTGGTTCAAAGAACTTTGGTTTTGACTTTTCAGAGTATTTGGCACTATTTTGTCTTCTGTGTTTTGACTGACTGTGGTGGTAATGAAAGATATTCTGGTCTTCAGGTGCATCCTTCACCCCCACACACATCCCTTTCCTTTTTGCTGCCTCTGATGGGCAATGTGGTTTCTCCTGAGCTAAGAACACCTGGTGGACATTGCAGAAGGAACTGTCTGGATGCTCTCATTCCAGAGCTGGGGAAGCTGATATGTTGCTACTGACTTTGATGCACACTGGCCTGAAAAAGACTATAAAATGCATTGGTAATATTTAGATATATATTAACAATAAATCTAATCATAATCATCCACCTAATCATTGTGTCCTTCTCATGCCTGGCTAAGAGCCTTGTCTCAACTACTCTGCAATGCTGGCTTCAGTTACAGCTGCAAATGTGTAATGCTTTTGCAAAGGAGACTGAGAATCTCATGCTGAAGAGCAGAAATCTGTAATGACAGCGATTTCAGCTGGTGATGACAATTCCCAATACAGCAAGTGTGGAACCCAGTTCTCTACAGCAGTATTACCTGTCTTGAAATGATACTTTGAATGAGGCAGGAACCTCAGAAGACATCCTGGTTCCCACAAAAAATAAGAGAAATTCAACAACATGCCTTCACCACATAATCTTTTGCAGAGCTGCACAACAGGCACTTCCACAGG